AAGTCAAGATACGCGAGGAACTGGGGTGAAGGAGGAAGGGGCACTTTTAAGAAGGCAAGGATAAGAAGGCATTTATATCAGAGTGGGCTGTTGGATCTTCTCCTGCTACTTTTCTTTCTTGAGTAATTATCAATAGGTTTTGCTCTTCAAGGGCAAAGTCAGCAAATGCTGAGAGTCCTGTCTGGAAGGAAGAAACAAAGAATATTTGCTGGAACTACCACTTTTTGGCCACGGGAAGGGACACATTTATTGCTGTGATGTTTTTAACCAGTTACAAAGCATGGGTTTACATGTATGCTACTTGCTGCACACACCACTCTGGTCTACCATCCTGCAGGACATTCCTTATTATTCTTGACTCCCTTTGTTTGCTTGTTTATTTGTTTATTTATTTATTTATTTGATGATGTTTATCCCACCTTTATTATTTTTTATAAATAAATCAAGGTGGTGAACATACATAATGCTCCTTCCTCCTCCTTTTTCTCCCACAACAACCACCTTGTGAGGTAGGTTGGGCTTAGAGAGAGTGAGTGGCCCAAAGTCACCCAGCTGGCTTTCATGCCTAAGGTAGGACTAGAACTCAAGTCTCCTGGATTCTAGGCCAGCACCTTTACCACTACACCAAACTAGCTCTCTTTTTTGTTATTTTCCTGAACAGTGGATCCAGATCCAAACACAGACTAAGCAATAGCCACCCATCATTTTTACTTTCTAAAAGAGTATATGGAAGCCATTTGAGGCTCAGAGGCACTCTTGCACTAGGGCAGGCTGATATACAGTATTGGTCATTGACAGCCCAGATGGCTACTGCATTGATCTTTCTGGAAATACTAATAGGATTTGCATGGAGGAAATGACAACTATTATTGTATGCTGGAGTGCCGTTCTTAAGATATCTGGGTCCAGAAGATGAAACAAAAATGGAAGGCTGAAATTGCATACAAACCTAAGTACAGTAATAAATATAAGTATAAATATAACTTGTGAACTGAAAAGAAGTAGGAACATTGGAATTTCTTTTCATATACTATATGCCTTAACATTTAATGCATCTCTTTCTCAGTATATAAACCACTGCATACTTATCCCAACATACATATTTTTATATATAATATTTGACCCCAAAAAGTATTATTTGAGTGGACTCATGAATTACACAAATGATGGCTTCCGTTTCAGTTTATCACACCATTTCACTTGGAAAGAATCCATTATAGGTTAGTCTGATATCCCTACCCTATATTAAAAAATGATCCCTCTCTTAGTTTCAGTTCCCTGTAGGCCCGAATTCTCCAATAGATAGAAAGATTCACAGGCTGGTGCATTCTGGAAAAGGGACAGACTGCTTAATGATCTAGGGAAGGGGAGTAAAAAGCGTGTCCCGTAGGCCGTGCTAGAATGCCTTTTATTGCTCTATGAGTCCCACAGAGTAAGAGTTCAGAGATTAGAGTAGAAGGGGAACATGAAGACTTGCAGAGATTTAAAGCATTCATTTCATGTTTAAAAAACCCTGAATACCTACCCAAAATCATTTTCTGAATATCCTGCCCCTCTTAAGGATCCAGACCTCAATATAATGCACATGTCGGATGCAGCCCTTGAGCCAACAAAGCATATTCTTGATCTAGAAAAAAATTACCCAAAACTAAAGTTGTCTTTAAACTGAACCCAGTTCCTGGAGGCAGACAGATTCCTTTATTTCTTTAATTTGTATAGCTGACCATCTCACATTTACTACTCTGGGCAGCTCACATAATTAAAAAAACCAATGACACAACCTGTAGCCAAAATACAGAAATCAATAATTAACACAATAACTCCCTTTTGAAACCCAATTAAAAACCAAAGTTAAAACCAAGAAGCCTAGAAGAAAAGCAAGTAAAAGCCATAGATCAATCAGTACAGCCATCTGGCAGGCTCTGAACCATAACCACATCCCCAGGCACATTGACGCAGCCATGTCTTTAGAGCTTTTCAAAAGGCGAGCAAGGTTGAGGCCAATCTAACCTCCAGGGGGGATGATATTCCAAAGGGCAGAAAAGGCTGTCCTCCAGGGTCCCATCGGATGACGCTCCTTAATAGATGGGACCTGTAACATACCATTTTTGCTGGACCTGATGGCACGGGTAGATGTAACCGGGAAGAAACACTTACATGGAAATCTTCATGCAGTTTTCTTGGCCTAGTATAGAATGGTTAGCTGATGTTATCAGAAAGAGAAGCTAAAAAAAAACATGCAGAGCCCTAAATTAAGGCCTTTCTCCACAACGTTCTTCTACGTCTTGGGCTGAAAAACCAATCTTGCATGTAGAAAATGTAATAATAGTTTTGCAGTTGCTTCCAACATTTTCTGATGTTTCTTAGGTGTCTGATATATACAGCAAGCTCAAGAATTCAGGAATGTTGGTGCTTGTTACAAATACCTTTCGTTAAGCAGTGCTGAAAGAATATTGTTTTAATTTTGATGCAATTGAATTTGGTCTGTATATCTGTTCTGAATGCCAAATGATGCATTTTTAAACAAGTAATATGATAGAATAAATTGCCTGAAATCCTCCCTCCCTCCCTCTCTCCCATGTTTATAGACTTATGGTTATTTTTCTCATATTATATAGATATCACTTTAGATTAGAGGATTTTGACAGACAGATTTCTTCTGATTTTTCTATAGTATCTGGCTTCCTATTTTATACTAATTGTGTTATAATATTAGATGGCAATCTGTTTGTGGGACTTTTTAAAAAAGGATTTCTTGGTTAATACTGATAATAGCCAGTAGATGGCAATCTTTAATGTGAACAAAATCTTCCTGGGAAAACTCATCATTACTTCAACTGTAATATATTCCATTTTCTAAGGGGGAAAATCCTCTTGCCAAGCATCTCAGTTACATCAAAAGGCTTTAACGATGGGGTAAAATGTTTGGCACTAATTATTTGAGTAATTAGGTTAGTGCCATGATGTCTTTTAAATAGACTCAGAGCATTACTTCATGTATCAGTCAGTCTAAATTTAGAGTGATTGGCAGTGTATTTTAATATTTTTGGATGTTAAATATTAATTTTCTAAGAATTTTTGTCAAAGCAGGTCACTGTTAAGTGACCTTAATTGGTTGAGAATAGAAGAGAATTTGTATGGTTCTTATTCTATATATGAAGCTGCTAAGACCCAGCTCCCATCGTCACTGCAGGCTTTAACCTACACCCCATCCTTTCTCTCACACTCTTTTTACTCCCTCCTGACAGTGTTAATTGGGACAATATTCTTATTTGAAGAACAGATGTTTGTAGCTCAAGCATGAGGAAGCGCTTGTGCCTGTACGCAGCATGCTCTTCCCCCCTAGCAAGGGTTACTCACAATGCAGGTCAGAGCATACAGGAAAGGCAGTTCCCATGGAATCAGATACTTGCCTTCCTGTGCAAAAAGGCCAGACACGGGGAACTTATCTGAGTTCCCTTTCCAGTAAGATACATGTGCCAGTTGAGCACTGTGAAGAAGGAAATTATGTCTACCTACAAAAGAATTTCCTGTAGGTCCTCTAAAAATCCAGACCTTTAAACAACGTTCATACATTTTGGACTAGTTCACACATGGCTTTTCAGTATGTTCCTAAAGACTTGAGGGCTGAGATGCTAAATGTGAACACAACTGATATTCTAAAGTATACTAGGATATACAATACTAAGGCTCATGCAATATGTACTGTAAGTAACCGATTGAGTGGATTTCTGGATTTCTAAATAGATGGATTTCTGTTTATTAGGTCCGGAATTGATATGGTTGGAATTATTATTGTTCCAAATCTTGTTTCCAAAATCTCAAAGGACTGGGAAGGCAAAAAACAACCTAGAGAGAAATGTCCATCCAGTTTTATGACCTGTCCTCGGCCATCTCCCCCTATATTCTTTTAATCTCATAATTTACTATTGCCATAGAAGAAACTGCTGCAGTGAAGAGATAACCTCCTTTTTAAGCTTCTTTCTTCTGTGCGATGTAACACTTGCAGCTTTCTAGCTAATCATTTGGATGGCTGGTATCATTATACATAAAATATTTTCCTAGGCGAGGGTTGGAAAAAAATGTTGCAGCTGAGAGAGAGGAGGGGAGAGAGAGCGAAAGAGACTCAGTTTTGCAGCTGCATAAAAAGCAGCTTCCTTAGATAGTAGAAAGGTCAACTTGTTCCTTTGTGGTGGTTGATGCTACTTCAAGGCTATGGCCTAGCTAAGTACCTGCCCAACACTCTGTGCTTATATTTTAAATTATTGTTTTTTAAAACACACACACACGCACACATTCTCCCATATTACGTTTTATTTTATTTACAATGAAATCATCCCATAGAAAATTTGTCTGACACTTCCTACCATTCAACAAATTATAGTAGGGGCATGAGACATTGTTTTCATGCTTAAATAGATCAAGCACTATGTTCATTGTTTTGCAGAACAAAAGTAAGGTCCATGATCTTGTTCTACTGTCTTGAAATCCAAACAGAATATAGACAGACTATTTTACCAAGGGAAGGGAATTAGGAGAATAGGGGATGGGGGAGGAAAATGGATATGAATCAAAATGAGTTCTTGGGCCAACTATAAAAGTTCAGCTTTTTTTTCTTTCTTTCTTTTTTTTTTTTTTGAGTGCCTTGGGGGTTGGGGTTTATCCCTGTAACAGCAAACTCAGAAATCTGAGTGCCTACTCATTTGGAAGCGAAACAGGGCCACCCAAAAATAAGTATGTCAAAATAAGTAATTGTAAAATAATTATGTATATTGTAAGACAAGTTTGTAAAATAATTATGTGTATTGTAAGACAAGTTTGCTCAATATTGGCTTGTAGACGCTTTGAAGACTTCCTTATTATGCAGATATATATGCACTTTTAAGCCCCGAAAAAAAGAGCCCCTATTAAACTAGAAGGAGGAAGTACAAATTTTTCTTGCAAGTCTTACTTGCTGATGTGCTGAAAGTTGTCTATTAATCTCTTTCTATTATTTTTAGAATCACTTTGCATGAAGGATGGCCCCAAGTGCCTGTCCAATTCTTGCCAAAAGGACTCTGCGTGTAATGCTGCCACCACCGCCAGCAGTTGCCACTGTCTGGACTCAGTGGACATCTCTGCAGAAGATTGCATTAAGGAAACTTATGATCCTTGCTCCTCCATCCCTTGCCTTCACAATGCTACTTGTGCAAGTGCTCCCGGAAACCTTGACTTTACTTGTGATTGCCCCATGGGCTACACTGGCACTGTTTGTGAAACTGCCACTAGCACATGTGACTCATATTTCTGTAGGCATGGAGGCACTTGCCAGGATGAACCTAGTGGTCTCACCTGCCTCTGTGCTGAAGGATTCACAGGTACAAACTGTGAAACTGACATTGATGAATGCCTTTCCAACCCTTGCCTCAATGGAGCCGTGTGCAGAGACAAGATCAGGGGATACTCCTGTTACTGTGTCCCAGGTTACCAAGGAAAGTACTGTGACCGGGAGGTGAATGAATGTGTTTCTGAACCTTGCCTGAATGGTGCCACTTGTCTGAATCTCATAGGGAAGTATGAGTGCATTTGTCCTCTTGAGTACACAGGTAAGAACTCACAAAATTAGTGATACATGCAACTTGCATTTTGCAACCCTAAAGACACATTCCAGGCTGCGCCTCAAGTCCTCCTGCCTTGGCAAGCCTTTGCAAAGTGTGTGAATGGGCAGTGGAATCCTCTCATCCTATAACTTCATCCGTAGCAGGGCAGCTGGTGAATTTGGAAATTGGAAAATCAGCTCTGGGTATGTCAGCATGCTATGCACTATCTGTGGAACACGTGGAGAAAAGATTCCCCTCTTTGATGTTAAATTGTAGTCCTAGCCACTGATTTCACCCAAGTTTTGGTGTAAATCACACCATCAGATTTTGCAAACCAGAGTATCCTAGATAAAAGCATTTGTTCGAATAGAAGATAATGTATGTAGCTCAGGGTTGAAACATGGAGTCCTTGGTGCTCTCTGAACTTGGTTGCTTGCACTGATGATGTTACCTAGTTGGGTAATGAAACATCTGTAAACAAGCAACCAAGCTCAGAAAGCACCAAGGATTCCACAAAAACATTCGTTTTAATATTTAATATTTGCTGCATGCTCCTGATCAACTGAGTATACCTCACTCTCCATAGCAAGTATTTAGGCTTAGTGTAGGATATACATTCTTCTTAGGCCTCGGCATCCTTCTTGAATTCCTTTTCCCTTCCATCCATTTCCTTTTTGAGAAAGTTTGTTATCTGGAACTCTCTTGCTTTCTCATTTGAAGCTGTCCTTCCATAATTTCCACCCCTACCAGTCTTTATCTTCTTGGACCTCCATGCCTGCTTAATTTTCCTATCGATCTGCTTCACCTACTGTACTCTATACAGCCTTCTATCTCATGCTAGGAACTGTCAGTTTCATGCTGCTTTCTCCACTCAGCAGTGCTACACACTGTTTCCACATAACATATGCTGTGGTTTCACCTTCCCTTCATTTCACTTTACCAGCCGTAGAATGCAATCTCGTTATGGACCTATTACTCCCTTCCCATTTCACCATGATATTGCAGCTGCAGGGATTCTGACAAGAATCATTCTAAATTATGCATCAGACTTTCAGATCAACTTTATCAAAGGCCACCTCTTTCATCACCTCTTACAAAAAGATATTTTCATATGTCCTGACAAGGGGGTTATGCATTCTGAGGCATTGCCTTATTAAGCTGTCTTATCTCTCATAAGGCTATATGCTTTTCTGCAAATGATAATATTTCTGTGAATCTGAAATTCACTTTTGATTGTTATGTTTTTATTTATTAGATTATTGCCTTGCCTGTCATAGAAAGTGTAGAATCATCTAATCTCTGTTCAGTGTGAATCATTCATAGGGTAAGATCACAAATCCCAAGAAAAACGCACAGTTGGAGACCAGTGCAATATGTTCTTGGTAACCCCATTTCACATAATATCATGTGAAATCTCACCATGAAATTTCCGATAATATTTCTCAATATTGGACATTGTCTCAATAGCCCATTCCTGCATTCCAGCCACAATACATGGAGAGACAAAAGATGTTTACTTGCAGCTCAAGTGAATTTCTTGGCAAGTACATTCCATTAAAATCATTGGAACTGAGGCATATAAGGGGCACTATCCACCATTATTGAAATTGGTAGAATTAACTGATGCTATTTTGATGTTGGGCCTCTTGCAAACAAAATGCCAGCTTTTTTCTTAAACGTTCTCATTTAGTAGCAAACTAGTAGACTATATTTCACAGGCTGATAAATTTAAAATAGCATTATGAAGACTAAAAATAGAATCAAACAGAATTTGCTCAATGTTTTTTATGAACCTGGTTCAATTTCATTCCTTGTACTCATCTAATTAAATCTGTCCTCCAGAACCTCACCGAGCTACAGTAGCTACACCTAATTGGCCCTGTTGTATTATATCAACCCATTCATCTTATAGTCTCTGAAGGGTAGAACAACCATGTATTTACTTTGGAGAAGAACCAGTATTGAAAGAGAGGGATGAAAACAAAATGAGATGCATGCTAACTAGGTTTTGAAAGTAGAACCTTCTACACTGTTTTCGTTCCTCAAATCCTCAGAAGCACTTCACTTCTGCTGACTTGAAATGCTAAAAACAAAGGGGGAAATCACTGCTATGCCCCAAATTGCTGTAGCAACAAAAATACCCTCCCCTCATTCCACTCAAATGGGGAAAAAAGAAAGGAACTTTTGAAGTCCAGTTGACAGAGTGCTGCAGGTTCTCTCTAAAGTCTCGAGGAGGAGTTGCAAGGCCTCACAGGATCTGAACCTTGGAGCCAAGAAGAGCAGGAAGACAGTTCTCACCCGTGGGAAGATGGTTTGCAGCCATTTTAGCTGCACCACAGCTGAGCTGGAAATAAATCAACTCAGTTCTCCTGTGCCACTCATGTCCTGGGGACACAGTGGGCTGGACCTGCTTTCAAACTGCCACAGAATGCTCATGGTGAAGTGCCCTGAGTACATTCCTGAATGTATGTTGTTGTCATGGAGAATTGTGTGGTTTCAGTTCAACCTGAAATTTTTAATCAGGAGCATAGCTGACATCTAAAAATATCTGAAATATCTAAAAAAAATAATAACCCTCTAGACAAATTAAGCTGAGTGAGCAATTTCTAGAGAGATAAGGAGCTTGGTAACAGATAACGCATAGCATACAAAAATATTATGATGGCTGTAAACATTGCATCCCATCTCCTCTCCACCCCTGGGAAATAAATTGTCAAGGAGTGCAGGGGTTACGTCAAAAAGTAAAAGTAGATATTTTCTGTTGAGTGGCATAGACTTTATTTTGACGTCTGCCTTCAGTTAAGATCCATCACACAGACACCAGTATTTTTTCAAATAAAAAATGTGTTGCTTTCCTGCCACCCTGCTGCTACCAGTATGTGTCTCGGTCCAGGGCAAGTGATGAGAAGAACTACAGAGCCACAGGAAAGACAGAGAGGAGAAAGAAGGAAAAGCCCATTAACTGCCGGTATGGCTGCTCTGAAACGATCACATTCAACCTGGACCTCCTGTTGTACGTAGGAAGCTGGATGACATGTCTCTGTTAGCCTAACCAAAGGCAATAGCTGCAGCCCAGGAATAAGCTCCTTGATGAAGGGGGAAGACAGAATCTCCATTCAACAACAAGACAAAAAATAGTATTAAAATGGGAAAGGGGAAAATTAAATCATTTAGACAGGATTGGGATTGCTCGGCAGGGTTGGTGACCTATATCATGAAGAGAAACTTGAACATCAGATGGAAGAAAGGGTAGTGTTGTCCTGCCTCCGAACTACGCCCCCCCCTTCAGTTTTTCTTTTTTCTTTTAACTTTTCACTGATCATTTGGCTTTAGCAATGATTGTTTACCATGAAACATGGCACAGATGGAAACAGGGGTGCTCTTGTGAATTTGTTGCTTCAATCACTTTATCTAGAAGGACTTCTCGACCTTCTCCCTCCAATTACAAAGTGCAGAAGGCTTTCTACATTAGCATGCATGCTCTGCTCTCCCCTGTCTACCCTACAGGGCATGGTGATGACCTGAATTTTATTTTTCTTAAAAAAAATTTTTTTTAAAAAACCTTTAAGAATTTTTAGCAGGTTGTTTATCCTTACAGTGGATCTAGTTGCCATTCACTCAGCATCATTTATTATCTGGACAGTTGGTCATGTAGAGTTTGGGGGAAGGAAAGGAAATGAAGAGAAGCAGTGCATATTTTCCCTTCCATGCTCATGTATTTACAAGCACTGGAGTCAAGCACATTTTCCTCCATTTATAACATAGTTAGTAACATTTTTACTAAAAAGAAAAACCCAGTGTTTTCAGTTACGCTTACTGACTAACCCTACCTTCCAGGAGGAAAGTAGAATTGAAAGTTTAAAAGATTTAATGTCTGCAAATCTAAGGAGAGATCAGAACCCTAGAATAAGTAGGTAGATCATGATAGGATTTTCACATATTCCCAAGATGTAATCAACCTCTTTAATGCTAAGCAATTCAAATTACTAGTCACCTTGTAAAAATACATAGCATGGTTTCACTGTGTTTATTATCATCATAATCAGGTGACTGCTTCGGGAGACACACTTTTAATTCAGCTATAGCTGAAGTCAAGATAAGCCATTCAAAAGGACAGTACCTATCAGGGAAAACACTGAAAGAGAAATGCCACCCTATTTCTTCCAGTTTCCCCATAGTTTGCAGTTTTCCATCCAATTGAAAACTGGGCTGCTCTTTCTGGCAATTCCACCTTTTATTGTTTCCCACTCAACCACAATATCAAGTTCAGACACATGTAGGAAAAAAGAAAACCAAGGGAATTCTGGGGAGAACTCCAGCCGCTAGTCCTCTTGCAGATTCTGCAGGTGCTACCTGTTTTAAAGTTTGGTTTTTTACTCCTTCAGTTCAGTAACTTTGTTTAGGGAAATACAAGAACCCTTAGGAACCTAGAATTGTCAGAAGGGTTAAAAGCAGTAAAGAAAGTGTGGTGTAAAATAGAAACTCAAAGAGATGTGTTGAGATAACCACTTGGGATTAGCTTCTAGCAGCAGCGCCTAAAATAATAAGAGTAATAATTCCATAAAGGGGTAGCTTTCTGTTTCTGCAATAGTAAAATGGTGGATTTTAAAGCCCACTTAACAGAATGATTTATCAGCAGCTCCTGCTGTTGTTCCGGTGGTTGTTTAGTTTTCTGCAGCTCACTGTGAGTGAGATGTGTTAAATGCACAAGCCAGAGGGAATCCTGCATGAAACCCCCAAGGTGTCCCTGCTGGTAATAAAAATCCTCATTTACTCAGTCAGAGGGAGCTTGCCTATTGCTATTAGCCCAGCCTGACACCATGAATCACAGTGGGAAATCATCCACCCTCATCTCATTTCCCTGGGATGTTAAAAAGCTTATAACTTTTGATATGTATGCTGAGAGCTCGCAATAAATCGACCGCGGTAATGCTAACCAAATGCTCTCGTTACCAGCTCTGAGTTGCAACTTGCTCTGTGGGCTCTCCAGACGGCTTTCCGCAACT